TTAAGTGTGATTGTAAAACTTGGAACTCTAAACACAGGTTTAAAATGAGTCATTTCAGGCACAAGAAGGGGGTTTTCACTACCATCAGAGAAAAAGAATCAGGAGTGGCACACATCCACCATTGGATCCCAAGATCCCTGCACACTGAACTTCTTCAAATCAGGGACCGAAATCTGTGACACCAGAGGAATAGCAAAGGAGTGGCAGAGGATCAGCAGCAGAACCAAGAGCCAGAGCATCAGAAAAAAAGTGATGGACTTTACTACTCATGGAGCAAGCAGAGCTGAGAGCCTTTGGGCAGGAGGTTCATTTGTGGAGTGAGCTGCCTCCAGGCACGTAACTAGGGAGCTAAATTTGCTGACCCACAGAGCTAGAGCTTAGTGCCTCCAGGATGAAACTGAGAACCACTGAGTATCCTTTGGGCACTTCTCAGCTGCTTAAAAGAGCTTTGTAAAATGGCCAAGCAAGGCAGGGACCCGGCTAAGGACCAGTACGAGGCCTTCCTGAGAGCACAGCTGAGGAGAAGTTGTCCTTTCTGAAAGAACTGTGCCCTGAGCATTTTCTGATCCTGCAATGTAACCTGTTAATTTCCCTAATAAATCCTATAGCTGTAAGTATGATGTCTTGAATTCTGTGACCACTGCAATCGATTATTATAACCCAGCTAGGATGGTTGGAGGGATGGTTATTGCCACGTTTTTTACAACTTTATAATCAAGCGACTATTGAGTCCCTTTATAAACAGCATTCTTATCAATGGAGAAAAGATTGAAGCTGTCAAGGACTTCATTCTGCTTGGATCAACTATCACCACTCATGGAAGCAGCAGTCACTAGATCAGACGATGTATTGCATTAGGCAAATCTGCTGCACAAGACCTTTTTTAAAGTGTTGAAGAGCAAAGATGTCAGCTTGAGGACTAAGGTGCGCCTGACACAAGCCATGGTATTTCCAATAACCTCATATGTGTGCAAAAGCTGGACAGTGAATAAGGAAGACCGCAGAATAATTGATGTTTTTGAGTTACGGTGTTGGAGGAGAACACTGAAAGTGCCATGGGCTACCAAAAGAACCAATAGATCCATTTTGGAAGAAGTACAGCCAGAATGCTCCTTAGAGGCCAAAATGACTAAACTTCGTCCCTCATACTTTGGACATATTGTCAGGAGGGACGAGTTGCTGGAAAAGGATATCATGTTTGGTATGGTGTAGGGTCAGAGAAAAAGAGGAAGATCCCCAATGAGATGGATTAGCCAGGTGGCAACATCGATGGACTCAAGTGTGGCAACAGTAGTGAGGTTGGCCCAGGATCGGGAAGTGTATCATTCTGCTGTGCACAAGGTCAATATGAGTCGGTACCAACTTGATGGCACCTAACAACAACAACAACTTTTTGTCTGTTGTTATTAAATGCCATTAAGTCAGTTCTGACTCATAGCAACGCTGAGCATCTCGTGGGTTTGAACCACAGACCTTGTGGTTCAAACTGACCTTGTGGCCCAGTGCTTATCCCACAGTGCCACGCCAGGACTCTTTTCATCAGGTATACTTAAAATATTGTATTTTCTAAATAAAGCATCAATTTAAAATACAAATTCTTCAGTATACCTTTGTATTAAATTTGCTATGAGTTACTGTTTAATTCAGTTATAGTAACATCATATGGCTGAAAGCATTGATTAGACAATAGGTTTAAATTTTGGTGATTATTTTGTAGAAATGTACTCCATTGGACTTTTATCCACAGTTTTGGGTTTTGTATTGTTTTTCCTTTTATTTTCCAACTTCTTTATTTCAGATCTGCAATGAAACAACAGGTGAAGCCATAAAACCACACAGTATGACTTCACTCCTAGAAGCAGAATTTCTCCTTTAACCCAACATCAGACCCATGCCTGAAGGCAAAAGTGAAGCTTTTTGAAATAGTAATAGGTGGTCCAATCTTCATCTCCATTTGCTTATAAGACACACTGCCACAATCCTCAGCTATTTCCACTTATGGGTCTCTGTCCTGTATCCTGTCATACTGAATGATCTAAAGATCCTACTCATAATACAGTCAAATCTCTGAACTCAGTGTTCTCAATTCGTAAAGTTGTCTCCTGGCTCAGCAACATCTTAACTTCATCTCTATCTGGACCAGTTCCACTGCCAAGTTCAGCACATTTCAATTCCATGTCTTCTCTCTCATTTTCCCTTTGTTACCAGTGAACCATCAACATAACTAAGTCATGCTCATTCCCTCTTATTCTACAACCCTCCTGCCTCAATGATCACTATCTTCAGCAAGGATCCATTTTCATATTATACGAGTCAATATCCCTTTAATCCAGCATCATGACTTCTGTGTCAGCCACCAACTTAAATCTTACTTCCCATCTGCATTACTATTCATTGTCCAAGGCTCTGAGTATCACTAAAAAGATCTATGAAAATAGAGGAACTACGTTTTCCTTGACATATGGGAATTTATGAGGTTTAACTTAACCTGGATTAGTAACAGTACCTTTCTTTTCTCTTGCAAAACCCTGGATGTTTTAAACAATTTCTACAAAGTCCCCCAATAGCAGATAAGCACCTTCTTTCTAACACTATTCCTTCACCTGTCCAACCAATCCATTCATTCAATGTTCCACATTTCCACTACATTTTCACCACACATTTCTTCCTTTTCTCCCAGCTGAGAAAGAGGTATCTCTACCCATACTAGACTGCATCACATGAACTTACAGAACACAATCCAAAAAGTATTCCATTTCACTTTTTTCACTCTCTTCTGTTTTACAGGATTTTCCCAAATGAGGGGTTTTCTCCCCTGAGGTCTCCTCAATGCTATGAGAACAGTCTCTGGGCTCTAGTTCCTCCCACAACGTACAACACACTTTCTCATATTCTTTAAACTAACACATTCCCTAAAATTATAGCCTATGATTGTTGCTGCATCCCTCTCCTTAACTATTTGCACAGGATTTGAATCAAGAGTCTCAACTAACCCAGGATGCTATATTCCCCTGGCTTCCATATCACTTCCAACTCTTAATTTTCCCAGCCATGACTGCACATGCTACTCATTTCTCCTTATGGAGACAGGAATAGAGCTTGGACTTCTATTGCACAGCTCACAAGGTTAGAGAGAGTTCTGCGTAAAATGCTAAAAACAGTGTGGACCACCATCTCGGTTTGAACCACAAGGTCAGCTGTTCAAACGCACCAGCCACTCCTCGGAAACCCCATATTGTTATTAAGTACTGTCGAGTCAATTCCAACTCATAGCAACCCTGTATAGGGTTTCCAAGGAGCAACTGGGGGTGTGAATTGTGGACCTTGTGGTATGCAGTACAGTGCTGATCCTACAACACCATACCAGGAGTCCATACAGGGTCTGTATGTGTCAGAACTGACTCAACAGCACTGAACAACAACAACAATTTAGCCTTCAAGATTCAAATTAAAAGCACCTCCACAAAAAAGTTTTCCCTAATCTCCCCAAAAAGGTCAATCTTCCATAAGGCATATATGTATCTAGTACAAATCACATTTTATGGCTCAGTCTGATATATGGCAGGTTCCTGATACCCCTTATAAAAACTATGGACTGCCCTCCCTGCCCCACAGACCTTTCTTCCCCATCTTTTCTATCTCCCACATGGCTGCTAGATTAATCCTCCCAAATCCCACACTGATGCTCTATACTTCCATTCAAAACCTCTTGGCAATGCCCCATTGCCTACAGAAAACACAGTAACTTTTTAGTCTTTTCCTTGAAACCCTTATATAGCTCCAGCTACCTGCCAGCCTCCTACTAATCCTTATAAGAACCAAAACATTACCTCATACACCTTGTTCTCCAAATACATACTATACTTTCTCTAACTTTGTGGCCTTTGTTATGCTTATTTATGTGATTACACACCCTAGTTTTATGTTCCTTCCCTAACTATGTCATAAAGAACTAAAGCAAAGCTACTTATGAGTCAAGTCTACTCCCTTCCAATTGATTCCCCTTATCAATTAAGTAAAATAAAATGCAAGCCTGTGCTGTACTCCTAGAACATCAGGGCACACTTGAGTACTACAGCTATTTATGTGTGTATATAATCCCCCAATTAGATGGAAAAGTCAGTGATCTCAAACATGTGGACTTTAAACAAGTTTGTAACTCTTGCTGTAACTAACAATCATTGTCATTATCATCACTAACATTTATTCACAACATGCTAGTTGTTACTCCAAATGATTTACAACCATCTTGTGGAGTACATACTCCTATTTTCCATGAGTTGGGCTGCTAACCTCAAGGTCAGCAGTTTGAACCTACCAGCTGTTCCAAGGGAGAAAGAGGAGGCTTCACAGTGTTACTATGAGTCGTAACCAGCTTCATGCATACAACCATCACTATAGATAAGAATACTGAGTCTGACAGAAGGACCATCAAAAACTTTGAACACAACAGATTATGTTTTTTAAAAGAATAAACCTATTCCCCATAACTATGCTTTGACACTTTGGCATAATTCATATCTTGACTGCATTCCCATTATTCTAGCCTTGCAAAATCCTCCCCATTTCAAGACCCAATGCAAATGTCAACTTTTCGAGCAAGTCTCCCATTGATATCAGGGCTAAGTTATTTGCTCTCCCCATGAATTTTCTTTAACACTGGAAACATGACTTTATTATAATACTGATCATTTAGAAGTTTGCTCACTACAATGGATTCCTCAATAGCAGTATTATTAAATATCTTTAATTCTAATAAACATACCTGGCAGTCAAAACTAATGTAATTTACATCTATTAAACATGAGATAAATGAACAAATGGTATACTTAATTAGCGATACTTGAGAATCACAATCAGAAATGTTTTCTGTAGTATTTATTTAGTACCTATACCAAATGTAAGGTATGTATGGAGAACTCTAGCTCAGAAAGTCCTTTCTTTCTTACAGTATGTCCAAACAAAACACTATTCTTAAGAAATAGAGAGAGCAGACTTACCAGTCTTCTTCTTTCTTCTTCTACTGCAATGAGTAGCCTTGCAAATTCTTTCAATGACTGAGCTATTTAGGGAATAAATTTTAAAGAAATCATTAATATTTTTGGCACTGTCAATGTTTAATTACAAACAAACCCAAACCTACTGTTCTAGAGTCAATTCCAACTCATAGCGCCCCGATGGGACAGAGCAGAACTGCTCCATAGGGATTCTGAGGCTGCCAAATCTTTATGGGAGCTGCCACATCTTTCTCCAGTGGAGCTACTGGTCATTTCATACCATCAACCTTTTGGTTGTTAGCAGCCTAGCACTTTAACCATTGTGTCACCAGGGGTCCCATTTAATTACATAGGGGAAAAATTACAATAAAATTAGTTACATTCATTTGTATATTTATATATTATTGTTGTTGTTAAGTGCCACTGAGTCAGTTCTGACCCATTGCGATCCTGTGTAGGGTTTTTAAGAAACTTGAGCCACCGGCCTTGAAGTTCAAACTGACTTTGCAGTCCAGCACATTAACCCACAGCACCACGCCAGGACTCCATTAGATACTGTAGGTTCATATATGTACAGTAGAATCCCAATGAGTAACAGCTATACATAAGAGATATATGTTTTGGATGCTGTAAACTGAATATGGTTTTATGGTTATAGATATATGAACCCACAGTATATAAATATACAAATGAATGCAACTAATTTTATTGTAATATTTGTTCCTGTGTAATTATATACAATAAGGAGCTCTGGTAGCATAGTGGTTACAAATCGGGCTGCGAACCTTAAGGTCAGCGGTTCGAAACTACCAGCTGCTCCGCGGGAGAAAGATGAGGTTTTCTACTCCCGTAAAGATTTACACCCTCGGAAACCCTGTACAGGGTCGCTATGGGTCGGAACCGACTCGACGGCACATAACAACAACAACAACAATTATATACAATAGGAGCCCAATGACTAACAGCTATACATAAGAGATGGATATTTGTCTATATGCTGTGTATGATGAAAACTGAAGTTTAGCATCTGAAATCTGGGGTCCAGACTAACATCTGGTCCTGAAATTACAAATCTGCTCATACCTCAAGATTTTAGGACAGGGACTTGATTTAATGAGAGTTATGTACCAAAAACAATAGTTAATAAGCAATGGACTTTGAACAGATGATTGTTAAATCAGTATATGTGTTTAACAATACATTCCCACAGTCTGTCGTGTCTGTAAGAGAAAACACACTAACTTTTATTCTAGTATTCACATAATACTATGAAAAAGATTGCCCAGATACTTTGGAAAATTATCTTAGTTGTCTAAAATCCTGCCACCTGCATAAAACTTTCCTGGCTCTGTTCACCAATAATAATGTCTCCCTTTCCTGTCCACCTGCAGCACGAGATTACTGGAGAGCAATGAAAAGATAATGTCATAAATAGAGTTTAACTTTCCAATTAACTGTAAATTCTGTGACTTCAAGAATACTGCTATATATATATAATGGAGTCCTGGTGTGGCGCTGTGGGTTAATGCACTAGATTGCAAAGTCGTTTGAACCACAGGTCAGAGGTTCAAGATCACCAGCCACTCCTCAGAAACCCTATACAGGGGTCTCTGTGGGTTGGAACCGACTCAACGGCACTTAACAACAACAACAACTCTCTCTCTCTCTCTCTCTCTATATATATATATATATATATACACACACATATATATATTGTTGTTAAGCACCATGGAGTTGGTTCGGACTCATAGTGACCCTGTACAGGCTGTAAATCTTTACGGGAGCAGAACACCTCATCTTTCTCCTGCGGAACCACTGGTAGTTTCGAACTGTTGACCTTGAGGTTGGCAGCCTGACTCATAACCACTACGTTACCAGAGCTCCTTACTATATATATCTATATAGCATATAGTATATATAGTAGTATTCAACAACAACAATACATATATAGTAAGTGCTGTCGAGTCACTTCTGACTCATAGCGACACCATGTAGGGATTTCAAGGAGCAACTGGTGGGTGTGAAGTGCCGACCTTGTGGTTCAAACTGAAGCACACTGTATGATAAGCACGGGACAGAAAGGTCAATTTGAACTACATGGTCGGTGGTTCAAACCCACCACACGCTCCTTGGAAACCCTATACAGGGTCTCTATGGGTCTGAACCAACTCGATAGCATTTAACAACAACAAAACAACAATTTCTCCCTTGAAGTGGCTGGCGGGTTGAACTTTTTCTTAGGATTTTAGCACTTTTCTGCTGTGCCACCAGGGTTTCTAATTTGGGATTTGTTGTTGTTGTTAAGTGCTGTTGAGCTAGTTCTGACTTATGGCCACCCTGTATAGAGTTTCCAAGGCTGTGAGTCTTTACGGGAAGCAGAGTGGCTGACGGGTCTGAACTGCCGATCTTGCAGTTAACAGTTCAGTGCTTATCCTACAGCACCATACCTGGGCTCCTGGTAAATCTTAGTAAGGACAGGCTTAAGTGGAAACCTGAGTCCCACCCAGAACTGCTGAGAGAAAAGGAGATTTATGTTTAAAGAAAAGGCATGCAGAAAGAAAATGACTGGCATGGTACTTCAGGATGTATCTTTTTTTGGGGGGGGGGTGGTAATGGTTAAGACTAGAGTTAGGAGTGGGAATTGGTCTAGTTTGAGGGTTATATTTAGGCTTATTTTTACTTATTTATTTCTCAAAATCTACTTGATTTCCTCTTCATTTGGAAGTTCTGTAATGACACTATTCCTTCTTTTTACTTTCTATGGCTTTTGCTGTTGTTGCTGCAAACGGATAACTCTGGTTCCCCATTTTCAGTCTGTAGAGTTGCTTTTCTTGGGATAGTTCTGTTATCTGGGTTGAGTTCTGGCATGATGTCTGTAGGTTAACCTCAGGTTGTTGTCTACTAGTGTTGGTTCCCTGTTCAAAGAGCCCCCGTTAGTTTTTTGTTTTGTTTTTTTTTTGTAAGGCTGGTCTGGTTTTTCCAAATTATTTAAATTTTTATTTATCTGGAAATGTCCTTTATAAATGTTCTTTTTGACAATAAAAAATATATATATATCTTAGGATTTGGGCTCTACTAAACTGCACAAAATATGAAAATCCATAAAAGTCTATAGATGTCAGACTTAACAGATGCAATTTTGGAGGAACGTGTGCAGGAATTTTCTGTGTGTGGCAAACATGCATATATATGTATGTAGCAAAACATTTGCCATTTCAACATTCTTCATATTTATAATTCGGAGACAGTAATTAGGTTTGTCATGTTGGTCAATCATCACCATTATCCATTTTTCATTGCAATTATCTTTTATAATCATCCTACTTTTTTATTTGAAGGTAAGATGTTGTTGTTGTTGTTAAGTGCCGTCGAGCCGGTTCCAACCCATAGCTACCCTATACAGAGTTTCCCGCGGAGCAACTGATGAGCTTGAATCACCAACCTTGCAGTTCAAACGGCTTTGCAGTCTGGCGCGTTAACCCACCGCGGCACACCAGGACTTTCTTGTGAATTAGGGTTAGGTAAACACAAGCTATGCCATGTTGGAAGAACTTATTAGAAACTATTTAGCCATAAAAATTGTTATTTAATATGAGACCATAGTTTCCTAACTTAGAATAAAAGAATAATATGAAATACACAGCCTACAAAATGAAATCAGTAATAAACGCTCACCTACTTGACTAGATATTCTGGATACCTTTAGAAATCGCCTCGTGTCTCCTTCAGCACTTATCTGTTACTACAACAACTGTGCTGTATTTGGTCTCTGTAGCATTTAAACCCTAATCCAGAAAACATTTAAGGAATCCTTACTTTGGGTTTCTCTGGCTTAATATCAAGGGATTTCTTTCTTTGCATTTATTCTCAAACCATACTCTTTGTGAGGGTTATTGGCCAGGTCAGATTACCCAATAAGTAAAGTTATTTATAACTCCTGATTGTTTGGCTTACCTTCTAATCTGCAATTTCACATGGGTTTCATATGCTTACCTTGCTTATTTGGATTCTATCAGGGATTGTACATTTGAAAAAGAGGCTTTAATTCTTTGGGAAGGTGGTATAGGGTTGTGAAAGAGGCAGATGTCAGCCATACCAAGAGAAGCAGTATCTTTGATAAGGTGAAAAAATGTGAAAATTTTTTACAAATTAATAAGTAAGCAAAAGTAACCCGGTTACAACTCATAATCTAGTTTTCCTTCTTAAAATTCCTGTTCTTAGAGCCTCTCTCTGTATCTTGCCTGCCCTGGTGTCCCCAGGTATGAGCATGTGATGTAATTCATTCCAGTCAACTAGTGTTTTCAATCTTGGCTGCTCCTCCACATTTTGGTTAGACGCTGGGCTTCACACCAACTCTTCAATCTTTCGCTCTCTTCTGGTATAATTGGATTCTCAGTCTGTTTTTTCTTTCTTTCTGTGTAAATCCTCACTAGTAGGACAACTAGACTCAAAAGAATAAAGTAATCTGTTAAATTAGGGTCTTTGTAAATAAAAGACAGCGGCTGCACAGTAGTCAAGAACTCAGCTGCTAACTGAAAGGTCAGCAGTTCACAGGAGAAAAGATATGGCAACCGGCATCCATAAGGATTACAGTTTAGGAAATCTTTGAAACAGTTCTCCTCTGTTCAATATGGTTGCTATAAGGTGGAATTGACTCCACAGCAGCAGGTTTTGGTGAGTTGCTACTGCCCCAGATTGTTAGACTCTCGTATTAAAATTAAGAAGAATTATCAAGAGTCCTGGTATAGCTCTGTAGAATAAGCATTGGACCAAAAGTTTGGTTTGAATCCCAAAGCTGGTGGTTCAAACCCACCAGCCACGTTATCCTGCAGCGCCACACCAGGACTCCAATAAAAGTAGCCATGTTGTTGTTGTTGTTAAGTGCTGTTGAGTCGGTTCCAACCCATAGCAACCCTGTATAGGGTTTCTGAGGAGCGGCTGGCAAGCCTGAACCACTGATCTTACAGTTCAAATGACTTTGCAGCCCAGCGCATTAGCCCACAGTGCCACACCAGGACTCCAACCATAGATGTCCAGAAATATTCAAGGTTCACATGACTTTGCA